AAATGTTATGATTTTTAAAATACATCAGATGACGCCGACGTTATTATTTTTTAAATTACTTTTATAATTCTGTGTAATCTTTTCAATAATACCAATAACAGTAATAATTAGAAAAAAGTACAAACATTTTTTTTTCTTATTTTCATTGAAGTTTTAAACTTTATTTAATAATTTTGTTTTATATAATGTAATAAAAATAAGACAATGTGTAAAAAGAAATTAAGTTACAGACGAACAAAGTATTATCTTAATTACAATATATTACGCTTATTTTGTAAAATCACAATACAAAAACAAACAAAAAACCGCCGGGGGCCCTTTGCGGCCCCTGGTCTCCTGCCCCACTTCGGCAACGGTGACACGAAACGTTGCCCTGTAGTACTAGAGTGTAGATCCTGTCTCTTATACACATCTAGATGTGTATAAGAGACAGACATTGTAATAATGCATTTAATTTCCGATTTCACGATGTGTCTAATTTAAAACAGGCTCTGTTCAACGAACGTCCATTGATGATCTCCATGACTGTGTACTAGCGCTTCTTCTAACTAACTTGATGACGGCAGGCTTCAACATTTGCACGATGATACCAATTTTACCGGTCCAATTCTTGACATTTGTTCTACAATTAACAGGCCGTGCATTTCTCTTTTCAATTCTAGTGGCTTTCCTTACAATGGCGTAAGTTGAAGGTTCAGTTGATGATCAGTATTAAAGTTAATAGATTATCACTAAGCCGGTACCCACTCGCTTGTCTTTAGTATTGGAAAATTTCCAGTACGTAAAGCTCAATAAACTTGCCCTGAGTCACATTGTGTGAAATCAAAGCTTCTCTCAGAAAATTCTATAGACATTCATTAAAAAAAAATAAAAAAAATTGCAATTTTATTGTTTGAACCATATTTATAGAGAGTGACCCTTCCAGTGTATCCTGAAAATTCGGTTTATTCAGAGGCCTTCTTAAATAAATAATGAAATAACGTAATGCTTTTATTAGCAAAGTCACATGAATTGAACCCAGGACCCTGTGGGATTAGAAGGCAAGCATCTTAACCACTAACCTATTCAACTTCACAACTAAATGATTATTAGGATAAAGATGTGTTTCATTTCATTTCGTTTAGATTTCCAGCTAAATATTTCGGTTGTGTTTATGGTACTTGCCGGATTATCGCAGCATGTATTGCTCTCCTACAGTACCCCCTTTTTCAGATGGTCCAAGAATTATTTGATGAAAATCCATTTTATGTAAGTAAAAAGGCAACCCAATTGCGAGCAACATTTTCCTTAAATTTATTAGTAAACCATTTTTCTATATTTTTATATTTGCTTTATTATATTACAATGCTGTTTTCTACTGTTTTAGGTCTATGCCATTTTTGTAAATAATGAGCTGCTGTAGTTTGAAACTAATTAGGCCTCTATAAATTGTTATAAACTTATCTTAACGTTTTAATAAATGAATGTATTTAAATATATCAGTCAAATGTGATATTAACACTGATAAAAATCTGCATGTACTACTTATAATTTTAGGCGGACCTGCTCCTTCTATTCTTGAACTTATGTAGCCTTGCTCAACCGATCTACGTTTACTACTTTGTGGCGAAAAAGAAGTACCTGCATGAAAATTGAAAAAATTAACCGAGTTTTTTCAACAAAAAAAAATCCTTAAACAGCATTCTTCCATACAATACAGAACATATAGCATAGAGTACTGGGGAAATGTATAGTCGAAGCAACAGCCTAATGTGAATTAATGTATTTTAAATGTTATGATTTTTAAAAATACATCAGATGACGCCGACATTATTATTTTTTAAATTACTTTTATAATTCTGTGTAATCTTTTCAATAATACTAATAACAGTAATAATTAGAAAAAAGTACAAACATTTTTTTTCTTATTTTCATTGAACGTTTTAAACTTTATTTAATAATTTTGTTTTATATAATGTAAAAATAAGACAATGTGTAAAAAGAAATTAAGTTACAGACGAACAAAGTATTATCTTAATTACAATATATTACGCTTATTTTGTAAAATCACAATACACATCACAATCCCCCCCCCCCCCGGGCGGGGGGGGGATGCTGTT